TACACCTGTGGCAGGCTAGATAGCCAGCTGTCAGTACCCCTACACCTGTGGCAGGCTAGATAGCCAGCTGTCAGCACCCTACACCTGTGGCAGGCTAGATAGCCAGCTGTCAGTACCCCCTACACCTGTGGCAGGCTAGATAGCCAGCTGTCAGTACCCCTACACCTGTGGCAGGCTAGATAGCCAGCTGTCAGTACCCCCTACACCTGTGGCAGGCTAGATAGACCTCCTTAAGAACCCTACACATGTGACAGATGCATGGATGTGTCGTATACAACTGAGATTCGAAGACAGCTGATCCACCCCGGAATTCATCAATCGAAACTATACGGTTTGAATTCATCTTACGAAACCTTTACATCTTTGGATGGTATTTACTAAACAATTTATGAACTTGTAAACCCTGAGAGGTTGTTTATACCAATAATAACATTGGGTAATGAAGTCTTCCAGCTCACAATCTATTAAAACAATCAGACAGTCGCCATGACTGAGGAAAGAGGTACAGTGCCTTCTCTCAATCCTCCCTGGCCAGGGCTCGAACCCAGACCAGATCGCAGAGGGGATGCTGGAGTAGCTATCATGTGGCACTGTTGAGTTTGCTTTGTTAATAAAGGAGTCAGAAGGGGAATATTGTTTACGAGGGGGCGGCGACAGCGAGAGGGAAGAGAGCATGCAATAACCGGTTTCCTGCGGCGCTTCCTGTTACAATCTGGCGCTGGCCCCTTGTTGCCTGGCTTGGTCTCCGGGCGGAGGAGCAGGAGCAGAAAGAGGGCAGCAGCAATAGCAGGAGCAGCAGCAGCAGCATTAGCAGCAGCAGCAGCAGCAGCATTAGCAGCAGCAGCAGCATTAGCAGCAGCAGCAGCAGCAGGAGCAACAGCAGCAGCAGGAGCAGGAGCAACAGCAGCAGCAGGAGCAACAGCAGCAGGAGCAACAGCAGGAGCAACAGCAGCAGGAGCAACAGCAGCAGGAGCAGCAGGAGCAACAGCAGGAGCAAAAGCAGCAGCAGCAGGAGCAACAGCAGCAGCAACAGGAGCAGCAACAGTAGCAGGAACAGCAGCAGCAGGAGCAACAGCAGCAGGAGCAGCAACAACAACAGCAACAGCAGCAGCAGCAGGAGCAGCAGCAGGACGTGATGGAAAAGGTGGGAGGCGGAGGCTGAAGAGACAGTGATTAGTGGGAAGGGATAACAAGATTTGCATACGTTCCCCCCCTTCTTTCTCCTCTTCCTTCCCTCTATCTCTTCATCCCCCTCACTCCCTTCATTTCTTTCTCTCTCCCCCGTCCTTCCTTCTCTCTACATCCCTTCCCTTACCTCTCTTCTCCTTCTCTCCCTCCTACACACACATCATTAACCAGGACCCACACCGACGCGTATCAAGGAGTCTGATAGAAAATTATAGTGTAGAAGCCACGGATAATTGACAGCTTACACCCGTGTGTGTGTGGATACATGAGTATTGTTGTTCCTTCTCTAGTACACCTTGGCTTAGCTCTTCGTCTATATATCCTTACTTGGTCATTATTCTCATTCCTAGGTAGTAAGTTATATATTAATTTCAATTATTCTTTCTATTCAGTAATTGTCTTCTGCCTTGCGTCCTGTCATTGGGTGTGGGGTGTGTTTTTCTGCTTACTGGAGCTGTTGGTGAGGAGTGGTGGTGAGTACTGTAGGTGTCTTCTGTGTTTGTGGTGATACCACACACACGCGCGCGCGCACACACACACACACACACACACACACACACACACACACACACACACACACACACACACACACACACACACACACACACACACACACACATACATCCGAGGATTAGCTGTACAAGTTAGTCAAATATATTCTGAGATTTGGGTGAACGTGGACACGCATTTTGATGGATAACTGAGCATATTACACCAGAGTTCAGGAACTCGGGTCACACATGAGTGCATATTATACTACACATTCCGCTAAGCTTGAAGCACATGTGGTTACACATGATGCATCTAAAGAAGTAATACTTCATACTGGTGATTTCTTAATACTTCTTCTATTTCTATAAAATAAAATGTCTTTCTGAGGTTAGAGGCCAGATGCTTTGGGTTAACCTCACTAAATTTTTCACATTAATTAATGTTAGCTATGTGCCCAATATGGGCAGGTTTGAGTTGTCATCATTGCGAAGAGTACCACGTGACACAGTGTCAAAGCAACCCCCCCACAGCGAATCTAATTATAGCATAATGGCTGGACTAAAAAAATAAATGCCGTAACATAAAACATTATGCGCTGATCACGGAAATTTAAAAAAAAATATATGCAATCATAATACTTTCCCTCTAAAGCCTGAATAAACTTTGATGTCATGGTATTTTTACCATTAGCCTTTGTGAAGTGTGTTCATGTCTAGTGATCTTCGTGCATATGGTACCGGCTATTGTGAAGTTTTCTTATAGTGTTTTTAGTGATATTGTGATGAACAGTGATATTGTGATGGTGAACAGCGATATTGTGATGAGTAGGGAAGTGGATGTTTACAAAAGTTCTGCAAGTTCAATGAGAGAGTGCAAGAGAGAGAGAGAAACGGAGAGAGAGAGAGAGAATTAGAAACGGAGTGAAATGAGACAGATAGACCCGGGCACCGCAGGGGACCTCTTCTCGTGTATTGCATAATTATACGAGGGTTGTGTTTATGAAAACTTTATTTTATACGAGGGTTGTGCTTCAGCCAGAGTTATAATTATGATGCGTTGAGCAGGCACTCTATCAAGCGGTTGCTCAGGCGGAGTACTCGACCAGTACTCAACCAGATCAACCGCAAAGCCAATCACTCAGCCAACCACCCAATAACAGTTTGTCCAAGTTACCTACAGTCTCTGGGTAGGTTCCAGTCTTCTCACAATCTCCAGTTCCTGCCCTGCTTGCCCTTGCGCCTTGTAATCCCACCTATATCAACCCATTAACTCCATTATCCACACAGTCTTGTCCTTCCACACCACGTGGGAGTGAGCGAGTGGGATACACAGGGCGGTACTCTGTAGTGCAACAGCGAGTGGAACGTGGTATACCTCTCTTGGACACTCCCTCACGTCTAGTTTACGTCACCTCACCTCACCTCACACTGCACCAGATGGCAATGCCAGTCATAAATTCCTTATGATAAACCGTGCAACATAAACACGTAAACCAGACCACACACTAGAAGTTGAAGGGACGACGACGTTTCGGTCCGTCCTGGACCATTCTCAAGTCGATTGCCTAGTGTGTGGTCTGGTCAACATACTTCAGCCACGTTATTGTGACTCATCGCCTGCATAAACATGTAAACATTGATCTATTTAACATCTTCAGAATGTTTTGTATGTTTCACCATCAGGTATTTCATGGGTGACCAAATTCAAGTTGTTAGATTGTTATTGTAGCCGATTATCGTAGTTAGTGGGGTTGTTGTATGCTGTAGTTGTAGATCTTGGTTGTCGTGGAAGGGAAGGTAGATAGGGAATGCGAGCAGCGTGAAGCTCTGGTATGAGGGCCTCGTAGTGAGTGTCTTCACTCTGTTTACCTCAGAGTAACCTCCATTTCCTTAGCATTATTTTGTCTCGTTTGGCGGTGTTAATACTTTACAGCATTGTGACGTGTCAGTGTTATTTTGTTGGTTATTTCTCGCTGTTTCCTGTGTTGGTGTATTTCCTGACTGTGTTGGTGTATTTCCTGACTGTGTTGGTGTATTTCCTGACTGTGTTGGTGTATTTCCTGACTGTGTTGGTGTATTTCCTGACTGTGTTGGTGTATTTCCTGACTGTGTTGGTGTATTTCCTGACTGTGTTGGTGTATTTCCTGACTGTGTTGGTGTATTTCCTGACTGTGTTGGTGTATTTCCTGACTGTGTTGGTGTATTTCCTGACTGTGTTGGTGTATTTCTTGACTGTGTTGGTGTATTTCCTGACTGTGTTGGTGTATTTCCTGACTGTGTTGGTGTATTTCCTGACTGTGTTGGTGTATTTCCTGACTGTGTTGGTGTATTTCCTGACTGTGTTGGTGTATTTCTTGACTGTGTTGGTGTATTTCCTGACTGTCTTGGTGTATTTGTCCTCGCCAACAGAATACGTTAACAGTATGAAGACGTATTCATGAGGTAAACAAAAGCTCCCACAGTGAGAGGATTGCTCCCACGGTGAGAGCAGCCGCCCCACGACCATGGGGGCAAGCGACCCATTACTGAGAAAGTGATCGTCTGACGAGAGAGATATTATTATGGTGGAAAAAAAAAATATTCCCACGATAAAAGAAAGATTTCGCACTGAACTGTTTTTCTCCCCCATGTGAATGGAATATTACTAAGGTCGTAGACCCCAAGGCAAGGTTCTCAGGTAAGCGAGACTCTGGGCAGGTGTCTATGGGTAAGTTTTCTTGGGGGTGTATTTTCCCCTCAAGAAATATATGGCTCAAGGCCAGAAAGAATATATTGATAGGATTCCGGTGTCTATGGGTAAGTTTTCTTGGGGGTGTATTCCCCCCCCCCCCCCCCCCCAAGAAATATATGACTCAAGGCCAGAAAGAATATATTGATAGGATTCCAATGGCAGCAATTCAAGAATAGTATATCCAGGGTTTTCCACGACTGGAGCCTAGGTATAAGGAGTCATCAAGGCTGAAGCCCAGGTATAGAGTTCCTAGGGCTGGAGCCCAGATATAGAGTTCCTAGGGCTGGAGCCCAGATATAAACTCATCAGGCCAGGAGCTAAGGGCTAACCAAAAAAAATGTCAGAAACCTAGGGGTAGCAACACCAGGGCAGGCAGCCAAGTATAGAGCGTTCAAAATGCAAGATCATTTAAAACACATAAAGTAAATTTTTAAATAAATTTAAATAAATTTGAATAAATTAAATAAGTAAATTTATATTTACTTGTAATTTACTTGTTTTCTTTTTTTGTTAAAAATTTACATGTAAAAGTAAATTTAAATAAATTTGACGACATAAATTTAGAGTGAGAGTATAATACCAAGTCAGGTTCAGGGTCCCCTGACGGCAGGACTCCGGGGGCAGGACTCCAGGGGCAGGACTCCGGTGGGAGGACTCCGGAGACAGGACTCCGGGGAGCAGGACTCCGGGGGCAGGACTCCGGAGGCAGGACTCCAGGGGGCAGGACTCCGGGGGGCAGGACTCCGGGGGCAGGACTCCGGGAGCAGGACTCCGGGGGCAGGACTCCGGGGGGCAGGACTCCGGGGGCAGGACTCCCGGGCCAGGACTCCGGGGGCAGGACTCCGGGGGCAGGACTCCAGGGGGCAGGACTCCGGGGGCAGGACTCCAGGGGCAGGACTCCAGGGGCAGGACTCCGGGGGCAGTGCTCCGGGGGCAGGACTCTAGGGGGCAGGACTCCGGGGGGCAGGACTCCGGGGGCAGGACTCCAGGGGCAGGACTCCAGGGGCAGGGCTCCGGGGGCAGGACTCCAGGGGGAGGACTCCGGGGGCAGGACTCCAGGGGCAGGACGTCTCAAGGACAAGCTTTCCCACGAAGGATGGGCATTTCTTGAGCGGGACCAACTCCTAGCACGGCTATATTGATTAAGATATCCACTCCCGCCCAGCCGGTGGTTGGCTGCAGTCCTTCCACCTTGTTCCTGCGTCCCTCCAGCCCCTGCGTCCCCCCAGCCCCTGCGTCCCCCAGCCCCTGCGTCCCCCCAGCCCCTGCGTCCCCCCAGCCCCTGCGTCCCCCCCAGCCCCTGCGTCCTCCCCAGCCCCTGCGTCCCCCAGCCCCTGCGTCCCCCAGCCCCTGCGTCCCCCCCAGCCCCTGCGTCCCCCAGCCCCTGCGTCCCCCCAGCCCCTGCGTCCCCCCCAGTCTCTGCGTCCCCCCCAGTCTCTGCGTCCCCCAGCCCCTGCGTCCCCAGCCCCTGCGTCCCTCCAGCCCCTGCGTCCCCCCAGCCCCTGCGTCCCCCAGCCCCTGCGTCCCCCCAGCCCTGCGTCCCCCCAGCCCCTGCATCCCCCCAGCCCCTGCGTCCCCCAGCCCCTGCGTCCCCCCAGCCCCTGCGTCCCCCCCAGCCCCTGCGTCCCCCAGCCCCTGCGTCCCCCCAGCCCCTGCGTCCCCCAGCCCCTGCGTCCCCCCAGTCTCTGCGTCCCCCAGCCCTGCGTCCCCCATCCCCTGCGTCCCCCAGCCCCTGCGTCCCCCAGCCCCTGCGTCCCCCCAGCCCCTGCGTCCCCCAGCCCCTGCGTCCCCCAGCCCCTGCGTCCCCCCCCCCAGCCCCTGCGTCCCTCCAGCCCCTCTCTCCCTCTCTCTGTTTCTACCTCTCTCTCTCCCCTTTTTCTTTCTACCTAGGAAAGTTTCCTCTCCTAACAGACTAAGCCAGAGGACCCAAAACAGAAAACGGGACAGTACGTCACTTTCGTGAGCCGATTTCATTTTGAGTTACGTCCTTTTTTTTTAGCCTGAGTGCACATACGAGCGAAAAGCGACGCAATTTGTAAGAGGAGGAGTTGGTTATATATGGCGCCGTGTATGTTGTTCACTGTGAACGTTATACACGGTGGCTGTAGCAGTGTAGACACACCTGAAGCTGATTGATTGATGAAGATTAAGCCAGCCAAGAGGTGGCACGGGCATGAATAGCCCGTAATGAACACCTGAAGCTGCGTAAGGCGATGGCTTTGTATCCCAGCCTGAGTGAACATGTTCGCCTACACACACACCTCTCTACACCTGGCCTTCACTACACCTCCCCGCCCTCCCAGCTCCACCAGAGTCATCACCTCAGCGGCTCGTCTTGGCGCTAGTGAGTTCCTCCTGAGAAACCTTTAATCTGCGGACCTTGACTGAGGAAGATTTTGGGGGCTTTTGATTGTACAACTTCGTGACCTTCGCTTCGTGTAGTGACTTTCGGAGTGGTGGAAGGTAATTCGTTCATCCCGGCTGTGCCCGGGTCTCTCTCTCTCTCCCCCTTGCTCACTACCCCTCTTTCTAATCTCCACCCCCTCCCCCCCTTTCTCCCGATCAAACAACCCCTCCCCCTTCTTCCAATTTCCTCATTGTTTTCTCATGAGGATGGCGAGGACATCTTGGCTAAGGTATTTACGTGGTTGGGTTTTGAAACTATTTTTTTTGTATGTAAGTGGCTGTGTTTTTTTTAAGTTTTCTTAATTTAATTTGTGTTATTGAGTTGGGAGGCTGTGATGTGTCTTGAGGTATTGTGTTTGTGTCTCAGAATAATGTTCCAGGATGTCTAAGTCTGGCAAGTTACTTTGTCTGTCTTCGACAAGTTGGCTCTGTGGGGGTATGTCTTAAGACAGACATACACTGAGCCTTAATGAACGCCTAGTGACGCTTTGTTGAAGTTTGAACTTATTAACAAAAAGTTCATAAGTTCTCGTTAAGTTCATTTTTTTTGGCTTGAACTTATTATAATGATATTCTTTGCGTGTGCGGAGCCATACAGGATTTCATCCGTCATGTTCTCATAGTCAGAAGAGTGATGGAGGGCCCTGTGACTAACTAGTTCGTCAACAGGTGGCAGACTGCACGCTCCAGGCAAGACTTGCAGGAAATCTCCGAGAAAGCTGCAGACTTAGGGCAAAGACCCATCATTTTACGTGTCATTATGTTGACAAGTTGTACGAGAGAGAGAGAGAGAGAGAGAGAGAGAGGGGACAAAGCACTAGAGGTGAGAGCAATATGCGACAAGATAACAAGGACCTAAGATGCTACGAGTATCATAGGAAAGACAACAAATTCACAAAGTCAATGCTAAGTTCAAATCTCCTCTTACGATGTACATAAAAGCAGTGGGATTCGTGCCTAGAAGAGCAAGCTGGAACGTGGCTTTTTCCAGCGCTGCAGACTTGAGATTTCCAGAGTCTCCTGTCGTCATAGTTCCCTAGTTTGTGGAGACTCGTCAATTGGTGGCCCTCAGTCGAATGGGTCCTGGCGGGCCTTTATGACTGTGATCAGTGGCCCTGTGTGGCCTGAGGTTGAGGCCACAGTGTGGCCCTGACGAATTCTTCAACCCACTTACAAAGCGGGTGCGCAAAATTGCCTTTCGTGTCTATAATCTCGCAGAGTAGTCAATTGGCTGTTATCTACGTGTGATATTGCAAGATAATCTGCTCATCAAAGCTGTGACAATGACTGAACTATAGACCCCAAGAGGCTCGTGAGTTCTGACTTTCCTTCTGTGACGTCGTACAGGTATACGGATTTCCTGTATGCTGCTTTCTTGGGGCTTGACGGAGAAGGCTTCGATGGTGAAGGGTTAAGGCTATGGTGGTGGGAGAGGTAAGGCTTAGAGGGCTGGGTTAAAGCTACAGGGGGACGGTTTAAGTTACAGGTAGAGGGTTAATGTTACAGATAGGGGTTAAGGCTACCAGTGGAATAAGTAATGAAGAAAGTTTACCATCACACAAAGAAATGCGGAAACTCCCTAAATACCGACAGATGTTCTTCCAAAAGTTGGTTATTTCTCCACCAAGTACGGTGCAGCAGTTCACTGAACAAGAAAGAAAGCTATGAGAAAGACTGCCCAACGCTTTATATTAGAGTGAGTCACGCGAATCAAAATAAATAATTGCAAGAAAATATATATGATGAAAAGAGCCACAACCCAATATACCTTGGGTTGTGGGTCGCTCTCCTTGCTAATGGGCTCCGCTCAATAGATTTTGATTTCCTAGTGCACGAGGTTGTGGGGGTCTGTATGAATATGCTTCTCTTAAGGACTTGAGTAAATGTTCACGTCATTAGTACTGTGGGGGGACTCTGGCGTCTCCACCCGACTACACACACGCACGCACACACACACACACACACACACACACACACACACACACACACACACACACACACACACACACACACACACACACACACACACACACACACACACACACACACACACACACACAAATGGACGAAGTGCGTGCGTGTGTGTAAGTGTACAAGCCTGGATGTGCTTGCAGACACCACCTCTGCTCTTAGCTCGGCCTTCTTAACAATCTTAATTCAAATCCATGACTTATTACACTGTAAATGTAAATACACCAGGTGTGTTCATAAGTGTATATGTATTTGAGTTCTGGCCTACATAGTGTTCCACACATCAGTTCACCTGTTGTATATATATATATATATATATGTGCCACAAAGTTACACCTCTTTCATAGTTGCTACTTCTCACATCTTGAAAGCTGTATCGCACTGTAGTGTTGCACAGTAGTTGTATATGTCTATTTTCGCTCGAGGAGTCCTTGGAGACAAGTGGTTTGTCTCCAGGGAAAGGGGGGTGGGGGGTTGAGGTCTGTCTGGGGGGGGGGGGGTTGAGGTTGAGGGTCGGGCAGTATTGGAGGTGACCAACAGGTCAGTGGAGGACCCAGCAGGAGTGGGGGTCCTTGGCGGCGATCAGACAGACAGACAGAGAGCTGCCGCGGGACCGTCCTGTGTCAGTGGTGTGTGGGGTGGAAGGATCAATACGTGGAGCTGGGCTCCCCACACGCACGCACACACACGCATGCACATACACACGCACGCACACACGCATACACACTCAAACACACACGCGCATATGCACGCACACACCAGTTAATTGACGGTTGAGAAGCGGGACCAAAGAGCCAGAGCTCAACCCCCGCAAGCACAAATAGGTGAGTACACACAAATACAAACACAAACTCATAATAACAACTAAAATGAGTCGAATGGTAATTGATAAAATAGAGAAGGAAACAGTGTTAAAAACCAAGAAGCAGCAGAACAATGGTGGAGCAAGATAAGACGATGGAACCACGAGGAACACGCCAAAGACGTTCTCAGACTTAAACGAACTCAATACACAACATTAATTGATAGAACAGGTAACACAGCCATTGTCATTAAACTATTAACTGACGTACGACTAAGCAACCACATGTAGGTGAGTTCGCACAGGTGAATATAACACATGAACGGACTTAAATATAATACGCCTTGTACGACTTATCATTGCTACTTCAATCATTACTACAATCACGAGGTCATGCAGGAACAAAATACCGGTGGGAAATAGGACGGAAGATAGATAGGAGCCCCGGGGAGAGACAGCTTATAACCCCCCCCCCCCCTGCTCAAGTGCCTAATGGCTCTGTCGGGGGTAAACGGGGGGGAATATTCCCCTCCCTGTGGGGGTGCTGTGGTGGGGGAGGGGGGAGCCGGCAGGTCGGCGGTGCTCAAGGTAGATGGTGAAGACTGCACTCTCCAGAGTCCACCCAGAAGCTGGAAAGTGCAGTCGCATGCACTTTCCAGCTTCTGGGTGAAAAGTAGTCGTGAGTGTTGGGTCCAGCAGGGTCCAGCAAGGTCCAGAAGGGTCCAACAGGGTCCAGCAGGGTCCAGCAGAGGCCAGCAGGGCCCAGCAGGGTCCAGCAGGGTCCAGCAAAGTCCAGCAGGGTTAGGGTCTTGAGATGGAAAGGCAGGGGTAGCATGGGTTTAAATGGTACTCACAGTGACGGAGAGTCTGGGACAGTGGGGTCGTGGAGGGTTATGAGAAAGGTGGCCAGGAGGGTCGTGGAGGGTGATGACAAATATCAGGATAGCTATGAGAAACCAGGGCCGGGATTTCTTAGAAAACGACGCTAAAGATGAGAAAGGTGAAGGAAGAAACAAGACTCACTGCCTCCCTCCCTCCTACACTCACCTTTCTCAGAAGCACTAAGGAGTCCCCTCGTCGACAAGGCCTCCCACTCATGCCCTCAGAAAGCCGCGTCTACCCTGAGAATTCAGCTGAGGGGAAATCTAAGTGAAGATGTGATACTGACTCACGATGAGTGATACATTGAGGGAAGAGATGTGTCTCACTCATGAAGTCAGCTCTGTGGTTCCCCTCGTTACCCCTCTTCCAATCTGACAAAGACGCGAGTCGTACCCCGAACAGTCACGCAGGCTGAGGGGAACTGAGGAAGGCACTGGCTGAGGGGAAACACCAGGGAGACACACTGGCTGAGGGGAAACACCAGGGAGACACACTGGCTGAGGGGAAACACCAGGGAGACAGGCTTAGGCATATTTTCCGCGTGTCGTGAAGAGGGCCATACGAGATGCAAGGAGAGAACCAATCTCTATAAACCACCCATAATGGTTGCTCAGGAGACTGGCAGGCAGTTGACTGGCAATGCCCAACCATATCAGCCGCTGCTCTATGTTATGTGTAACTGGCATTTCCAGACTCGAACTTGCACAAAGAATTGACAATAGTGTGATGTATTAAATGAGATACGTCACTGTAGTAGCCTCTGACGAGGATTCGAACCTGCACACTGGTATAATGTTATTTCTTTCCCTATGAGTCAAAGAACATTTTCCGTATGAGCCAACGGCCGAAGACCGCGGAGTCTATCGGGACGAGGCTTCAATGTCCAAGTTTTTTTTATTTTCTATTTATGTTTCGGGCTCGTCAAAACGTTATGTTGCGTCCAAACACTTTTCAGCCTCACTGTACTGGAGTTAGTTTCTGGCCAGTGTGGAGTCTCCTAGCCAGGTAGTTTGGATCCTTGATAGAGAAAGCAACTCGTTAATGCGTGAAGCACCAGACCATCATAGTGATGGAGTGTGGAAGCTTCCATATGCTGCTTAACTAGTGGAGGGGGGGCCCAGGAGATGCATTTCGACCCCCGTCGAGTGCGGCGCCTTGTCTAGTCTTCACCTTGAGGATTGCTCTTACATCTTTGATAGCGATTTCTTCAGCGTCTACTTAAGACAGAGAGAGAGCTTCCTGTGGCCTGCTACTGGGTTGTCCCGGTATTAAATCACGTCCCACCAGTTCTTTATTTATCTTGTTAAAGCTGAAGCCGAAGGCAGAAATCCACATCTTAATCCCAAGGCTGGAGAAAGTTCCGACCTTGTGCTCTCCGGGTCACGTTGTGGGGTGTTCATGGGTTAAGAACACTCGGCGTGTCTCCTCAACTATTCACCGGCCGTTGCAGAATTCACTGAGCATGCTTCAGTGAGCACCAGAGCATGGTCTTGTCCTGCACATACACTAGTATCTGCCTGCATAATGGCTCTGCTCCCGGCTGCAACACCCCGCTACAGTGGTGTTAGAGTGTGGGCGAGGCACTGTGCTTTGTACTCACCGAATTGTACTCACCTAATTGTGCTTGCGGGGGTTGAGCTTTGGCTCTTTGGTCCCGCCTCTCAACTGTCAATCAACTGGTGTACAGATTCCTGAGCCTACTGGGCTCTATCATATCTACATTTGAAACTGTGTATGGAGTCAGCCTCCACCACATCACGTCCTAATGCATTCCACTTATTAACTACTCTGACACTGAAAAAATTCTTTCTAACGTCTCTGTGGCTCATCTGGGTACTAAGTTTCCACCTGTGTCCCCTTGTTCGTGCAATCCTGCAAAGGTCCACATGAGAAGCTTCAGAGTGATTTCAATATATATGGAAAAATCAACTGGGGGGGACTTCATACTTTCTTGATGAACTACAGTGCAATACAACAAAAAGTAAATAGTGACTTATAGTAAACAAAATACAGTAGCTTACAATACAACAGCAAAGTAACACGTGCTACAGAGCTACACACCACACCAGGAAATAAAATATATTGTATTATGAAACTACCCTCCCCCCCCCCCCCCCGCCTCCCTCTTCAAATTGAAACCATAAGTCATTACAAAATAAGGCTGTGAAATAAAATGATAAAAAAATCATCAAACCAATCGATAAATTGTTGCTTAATAATTTACCTGACACTATATACCTAATCAGATACAAAACTAAAATTTTGGATTAGGTATACAAATCTATCTTGGGTTACATGTTGACCTTTATGTAACATTCTACATAAACAGGAGGCAACTGGCCCCATTGGGTCCAACATCCCTGGATGATGAAACA